AGTTGCATTATTGTAACTTCAACCTTGATTATCTCGAAATTTTGATATATGAAATAAAAAATGAAAATATACGTATTCATTAGAATTTGACAAAGAATGCAACGATGTTACTACAGTGCGTTTCATAACGAACACCCTGTAGTTAACCAATCAAGTTAGCTTATTCCGCTCCAATCTCGTTTTTAATTGGTTAATTCTATTTGAACCCTACACGGTAGAAACATAGGCTTAGTTTCCAACGTGCAGAGTTTAAACAGAGTTAACCAATCACGTATAGGGGTTGAATGGAATTGACCAATGAGGCTACTTGACTCTGTTTAAACTTTGCATGGTGGAAACTAAGCTATATACAATACTTGCAGTAAGTTTTGGAACTTACTCAGGGTTTATTTAAATTTACTGATAGTTCTGAGAAAGTACTTACATCTCTTTTATGCTAATTTCCCATGAAGCGTAGGTACTTTGCATACGCGTAACTTGTACCAGCCAGTGTTTTATGTGGATGACAGCAAATGCGAAAAATTTTGTTTTTTAGATTAATGTAGATAAGATTAATGTAGATAAGATTGTAGATTAGATTAATGATAACTAAAGAATCTCTCGCTAAATTATGCTTTTACGATTTCTACGATTTTCGATTAGACTTGACTTGCATGGTAACGCGAGATCTGACGTCTTGACACACCTGCAAGCTGCAACTTAGCAGAGTATGATGCGCCATCTATCCAACAATCCAATTTACTTGCCTGTTCGTAAGTAATGGCTAAATTAACGTAGGGTACGTTCCGTAATGAACTGCTTCTATTGTGAGCATGGTTGTATCTCACTCATTGCACGTAGATAAAGAGAGACATGATAATATACGTAGTACTTGCAGTGAATTTCGGAACGTCCTCGTAGTACACGAATGGTGGACAGTACAAAAGTTACGTTTAGCTATTAGTGTTAGCGCAACGTTTATTTGTATATCGGATGTCAGTGAATGTCATAAAACACAGGAAAGAACATTCATCTTGTGTACTGTTAATTTGTTTGTTCAGATATTACTTGCATTTCTTTTAAGGATGTGACATGGAATACTTTACATACCTTTGATTGCTTTTGAGTCCCTGACTGCTATCTGTTCCTACTCGTAAAGGTATGTCACCATGCTCGAATAATTCTCTTATTCTCTACTTCTCGCTCATCTTTCTGATAAAAGATGTTTTTGCTTATATACATATATAATATGTTTCATTAACCTTACTATGTTCATTTCGTTTCAATACAATCTGTCATATGATTCTTATTTATGCAACTATATGTAGCATTTGTTTTGCGGATGTGTTGACTGGAATTTTAATACATCCATACGTTTAATTTTGGCTGCAGTTCTCACTGTAACATAGGAAAATGAACGGAATTATCCCAGAGATGGAGCAGATCATTGGTCAGCTTGAAAGAGGCACTGTGGTCACAAAATTCTTTCCTAGAAAGAGACCAGAGAAAAAGACACTAATGATACGTAGGGAGACTAGGCAGATTGTATGGTCCAGAAGTGCAACATTTAGACCATTTGATGGTGCTGTGGAAATTAGAGAAGTTAAAGAAATAAGGGTAGGAAAAAATTCAAAAGATTTTGAAAAGTGGCCTGAAGATGCTAAGAGGACTGAGAATCTTCGGTGTTTCGTTGTATATTATGGATCTGAGTTTCGATTGAAGACTCTTTCTATATCTGGTTAGTACACTTAAATTATTTTATCTAAAAGTTCTACATAAATGTATTTTCAGCTCTTAGTGAAAAAGAATGTGAGTTATGGGTAAAAGGCCTTAGGCATTTAGTACAAGATACTATAAGTGCTCCATATCCTTTACAAGTAGAAAGATGGCTCAGAAAAGAGTTTTATGCTATGGAAAATAACAGAGAAATGTAAGTTGATTAGCATTCATTAACTCAATTATCTAACTTTTTTGGTTTTACTTAGTAGCACTTTAACATTAATATTAAAGTGTAGTAGGCGATTATCCAAATACACAAATTTGATTAGGCTTGTCATCTGCTATTAATTATACAAATGTAGAAATTAATATTACTTTAATGTGATTTTTCATTTAGTATATCTTATGAAAATTTCTTTTGCTTTTCAGGGTCACATTGAGAGATGTGAAGGCATTTTTGCCTAGGATCAATTGTAAAATTCCCACAAATAGACTCAGAGAACTCTTTCAGGAAGTTGACACGAAAAACAGAACTGAATTAGGATTTGATGATTTCGTTACTCTTTACCATAAGCTAATGTTTGATCAGAATGTATGTCCTAAAATGTATAAGATATAGCAATGCAAATTATGTTGCATATAATGAGAACATAAAATGATTATTCTGTTCCTAGAATGTCACAGAATGGAGTAGACTAGCAACTTATTCGAGTAACGGAAAGACAGTAACTCTTCAGGAATTTCAGAGTTTTCTTGTGACAGAACAGCAGGATCCTCTGGGAAATAATGATTGTGAAGTGTCAAGATTTATTCGGGAATATCTCCAAGATCCCCAACGAGATGTTCAAGATCCATATTTTACTTTATCTGAATTTATTGACTTTTTATTCTCTAAACAAAACGATATTTGGGATCAGAAGCATGATATGGTCTCCCATGATATGACCAGACCCATGGCACATTACTGGATAGCCTCTTCGCACAATACGTAAGTTTGTATTAGGTATTCTGGATTAGCAGCCTTCGATGTTCAACCATGAATTTTTCTAGATACTTGACAGGAGACCAAATAAGCAGTGAGAGTAGTTGTCAAGCTTATGTCAGGGCATTGAGAGCAGGTTGTCGCTGCATAGAATTGGATTGCTGGGATGGTGCTGACGGGATGCCATTTATTTTCCATGGACATACTTTAACAACAAAAATAAAATTTTTGGATGTCATAAAGACGATAAAGGAACACGCTTTTGCAACATCTGAGTGAGTTACAGTAACTGATTATTAGAATATTCATTCTACTTTGATTTTTACGAATTGAACTTGCAGAGTGATTCTTGTTTAGGTATCCACTAATACTTTCCATAGAGGATAACTGTACGCTACCACAGCAGCGAAAAATGGCAGCCACTATGCAGGAGGTTTTTGGGGATATGCTTTTAACTCAACCATTTGATAAGAATGAGACTTCCTTGCCGTCTCCGTATTCTTTACGTAAAAAGATTCTGCTAAAACATAAGAAACTTCCAGATGGAGTCGACGAAAATTCATTCGTCGTCTGGAGCGACGAGAGCAAACAGGAAATGGATCTGAGAAACACTATCAAAAATGGCATTCTGTATTTAGAGGATCCCGTAGACAAAGAATGGAATCCACACTTTTTCGTATTGACGCAACAGAAACTTTTCTATACGGATACATTTTCTAGGACGCAACAAACAGAGCATGAGGATGATGAGGAAGGAGCGATTCAAAGACCTGCTGATGTACCTATTTTTTATAATGTGTTCATTTACTTCCATTAGTTCATTTACTATTTAATTTTCTTATCGCTAATTGTTCCGTTATCAGGGAGTACCGAATGATGAACTTCATTTTGGCGAGAAATGGTTTCATGGAAGACCGGGAATAGGGCGGAAGGAAGCGGACGAACTTCTTAAACGTTATTCCCATTTAGGAGATGGCACCTTTCTAGTGCGACAGAGCGTTACTTTCGTAGGCGACCATTGCCTTTCATTTTGGAGAAAAGGAAAAGCTAATCACTGTCGCATAAAGTTTAAGCAGGAGATGGGTCAAACAAAATTCTACTTGATAGATCCCAAGTGTTTCGACAGTCTCTATAGTTTAATCACGTATTATCGTAGTCATCCTCTCAAAAGTCAGGTATTCAAAGAGTCACAAAACTTCATAACAATTTTACGATGGACTTTTATTTCGACATGTGTTTTAGGAGTTCCTAATTATTTTGCAAGAACCTGTACCTCAGCCGAGTAATCACGAGGAGAAAGAATGGTGGCATTCGGAGTGCACTCGTTCTCAAGCTGAGGAAATGTTGAAACGTATCCCCTCGGATGGGGCATTCCTGGTTAGGCCCAGTGAGAAAGAGACTAACTCCTATGCTATCTCTTTTAGGTAAAGTGTTTTATATAATGTGTGTAGATTAGTTATTGTGTGTTTTTATAATCGATTCGTAAATATTAATGATTGTAGGGCCGAGAAGAAGATCAAGCATTGTAGAATAAAATTGGAAGGTCGCCTTTATACTATCGGTACTGTACAATTTGAAAGTCTCGTGGAACTTGTGAGCTACTACGAACGACATCCGCTATACAAGAATATCAAGTTAAGCCATCCCGTTAACCAGGAAGTTGTCAGAAGAATGGGTTTGGTAAGTACTACATTATATAAAAATTGATTTATAATGTTTAAGAAATATACTATTTATAATACATACAATGAACGCTACATAATGTTAGTCGTGAACATAGACTACACATTTTAAGAGGATGTCAATACCTTCAAGGTACCATGGGTTCGGGCCTATTCGTTTAGGGCCGAAACATCCCGGTTGCTTGCAGTTAACAGATTTATTTTGCAAAATAACGAAATTGCACTTAGCACCGACCCATGTACCAAAACCGTCACCAGTGTTAAAATATCTTCTCTAATCCTAAACATTAATCAGTCTAATAGCACATACTCCACATACTAAGCTCACGCATTACATATTTTCACAATTTCAATTAACATTTTTAATTCAACATTCATTCCGCGTTCTAATTATCATGAAGTTTCTTCGTCCATCGTCATAATGTATGGCCTTATTACAGAATAAGGTACTGAGAAGTATCTAGCCTTACGGTGCGATTGCTGATCGCTTTGTTGAAGCGGCGAGTAAAGCACTATTCGATCCTCGTCTTTATCGCTCCTTAAACTTCTTTCTTCGTGATTTTTTCCGTGATAATTTTTATTCAAATTCATTACTCTTAGAATGCTTAGCTCTTTTTGATTCTTTGGTCCCCTCACTATGTCTTGTGAAAAACTAGGATTTATTATATGGTTTAGTTTGCGTTCCGCTGGTTTATAAAGCATTATTCTGTTCCTTGAATTGACATTCCTGGCTGGACCACCTAGCAATGGTCCAGCTAACGCAGGACTTGGAGTCATGAGTAATATTTCTCTGCCGGATTGTTGCTGTGACGTGAGACTCTGCAAATTTGATTTTTCACGTTCCTCGGCATCATGTACATACAACATTGACGAAAAATCTACGGATTTTGCAGTCATAAGATCTTTCGTTTGGGGACTTCCTGTTTCGGTTAACTCTGGTAGAAATGTAGACGTGAACTCTGAATCTTGGGACATGGTGTTTTCTTCTACATTTTCAAAATTGAAATCACTGGATGTGGTATTTTTATTCTTTGAGGATTTGTTCTCTTCTGTGCTTATGATGGTACTCTCAATGTTTTTTGTAACAATTTTCTCAACAATTTCTGTGTTGAATTTTTCAGTGCTTTCATCCTGTACAGTTTCCAGAGTGCTCTGACTTTCCTGTTCCATATCAAACAGTTTACTGGGTTCGATTTGTAAGTGAGAACAGTCTGTGACCGGATTAGCATTCTTTTTATTTATCTCAGAGAGGGTGTTTTCGCTTTCAAGTTGCTCTTCCTTTTGTTCAGTCTCAATTTCCTTAGAAATAATTTCTCTTATGGCAGCTGCCTGCTCCATGATAATATCTGACATAGTTTTCGGAGGTCCTAGAACATATCCTTTAGACTTAGGCTTTTCTGGCTCTTCTTGAACTTTCTTTCGGTTGTCAGCAATGAGCTTTTTTATTTCCGAAGCAGGAATGTCAATTTCTTGAAGTTTAGATGCTGACCTGCCGACGCGGTCAACTTTTATATGAGCTTTAAATCCTCTTCCCAAATCAGTAGTGTACTGGACAATCCTTAGATCTCCATCTGGTTCTTCTACTGCATAACTACCACGAACGCTGTCCCCATCACCGGCTTCTTCTTGGGTTTTATAATCACCGAGCTCGTCCCGTACAAAATACTGGAATCTGTATTGTGTGCCATGTCCCTGAGAACAAGAGAAATAGAGTTTGCCAATATTGCAGAAATTCAAGTAGTTTTCGTTGACTGGAAAACCTACCACAAAGTCTTTCGGTATTGGAAGGATTGAAACGTGACCTCTTGAGAAACTGCAAAGTAGTCCGAGAAACAGAATATTGGGCTAAAAAATATTTAAAAAACCGAAGAATTAAGTGAGATAATCGAATTGGAAACAGTAATTGATAATTCCAATGAAGTGACTTACAAACAACATTGCACTCCTATCGTAGAAAGCCACGTGGATAACGTTTCACGAGTTACGAGCCCTGTTCTGCCTTTATGTACGCGGGCATTAAGTTTGGTGGGGGGGTCCTCGCTGTCGAAGAAGCTTATTGGTTCCCTTGCACAAGTTATTTGCAGTTGTAACGAAGACCGGATCGGGTCTTAACGGTTTGGAACGGATCGTTACGAATAGAAACTGAGAGTGTGGTGCGTGCACCGGCTCTGATCGTGTCTTTTTACAGACTGATCCCTTGCCCAGTGGCATGCTTAGGGTTTCTAGAAGCGTCATGACGCCTGGTGCTGCCCGCCCCACCAGGTACAGTACTAACAGGGGCTGGGTGAAAAATACATCAGTAGAACGAGTTCTCGTCATGGGATACAAAAGATATCCAAACTATATCAATGGTATATCCTTTAAAGATATATATATGTAATATTATGATGCAAAATATTTTCTCAGCCATAGAATTATATTATAATTTTATTTATTTTATTTTAAGTAGCTCATGGAGTAATGTTTATCGAAATTGAGAATAATATAGAATGGTATATTCGATCGTCAGTATATCTTTAATTTACTCCTACTTTACTCCCGCCGAGTTCCTAGTATTTCTTATGACCTGGGCCAACCTGCTTGAAGGATCTCAGGAGAAACAGGATCGAATAATGGTGTGCTATAAATACAGGATAGAAAGGTAGTAGGATGACTGGGCAGGATTCCTTTTTTTTTGTTTTCTTTTCTTTCCTCCTTTTAAACTCCTCCTACACTTATATGCACCGTGACCCGTCGAACAGCTCTACCTGCTCTGACCCATCCTTCATACTTACCACAACCCACTATCTACTTTACAATTCATAGTTTATTGAGTATATTCCTTATATGGTGTACTATGGGGAGAGGAGCAGTAAATACATAACCGAAGAACAAAGTAGACACGTGAATGACACATAGCAGGACACGACAGTGTGCCAAGCATCGCAAATATTCTTTGACGAAGGTGCACAAAGAATTCCTTCGACAGATTCCTCTCTCTATATGCTGTCTATATTGGAATGCAGATATACATATAATGCCATTACGTGCATACCTTAAATTAACTATACCTTATTACGTATTTTGGGCTCTTCCTCTGTTAAACGTCGTAGCGACCGGAAATTGGTGAGGAATCTATTCCTACCAGCTGTGAACATTTTCTATGAATATTAATAGATATCTTGAGTTATACCGTGGAACACTGGATAACGAAAAATCGTGAACATAAAACTGATATCCGAAAAGTCGTTTTTTTCAGGCCTTTTTTCAAATTTCCGGATCTTACAAGTATGACGTAATATGTTTTCTCTGGGCTGAGAATCACGGGGATGTTCTTTTAGGTCACACGGTATGTATAATGCTAGCTCAGCAAAGGAAAAGAGTTACCGGCGGTTTCGTACTGCAAACGGATTCCACGAAAGTTCATTTAGCCAGTTTCGCGATCTTGTTGTCTCGTATCGAGGTGTCATGTTAATGTTCGGACTGCTTCCATGTCTAAACCTCGTCGAGACTTTAGGACTCTCTACGAAATCTTTGTCTGTTCAAAGTTATGATTTCAATTACATCTGATCTGTCAGGATATACGGCATCCACGTAAGCAAGTTTTTGCGCTTGTTGCGCCCTGATTCTATCCTTACCAAGTCTTGTTCCGGACGAATTGCAGACCGTGTGATATTTATAAATGTCTTTACAAGACATTTACAATGTTACAAATAATTTTGTATAGGATTTTTATTGCTGCGGTTTTTAGTCTGATCAATTTATTTGAATGCTATATGATCAGTGTCTGGAATCAAGGTGAATCTTCTTCCCAGCGCGAGGTCTTCACACCGTCTGTCCGAAGACTTGAGACCTTTAAGTCCTGGAGTACTCCTCCCACTGGTAAGTGGTTCGTTGAGACCGAGATGCTATCGCAGTCTAAGGTGAGGGTAATGCGTTCCTGGTAAGACTGAGGCCTGAAGTGGCCCCGACGACTGTATTCTCTTGGCTCTCCCAATGGGCTCAGGAGGATATCCGATGTACACGCGAATGGCATTCTAAGTAGGTGCCATCTTTCATGTACTGGTGTGTCGCCCCTTTTTCTTAAGACTACATGTAGAAGGATTGTTTTATATTGAGAATTGTAGGATTCTAGCTTTTCCCGATGTACTGTACCGTTGTATTATTATATAAGTATAGTATTGTATAATAGGATGATACTTTGGTCTTGAAAGCTTTAGCTTTGCTATTGTATCTGATCATTTTCGTTTATCTCAATTCGCGAGCAGTTTTTTTTTTGTCTTTCTTCCGTTACTTTTTGATACTGTGATATTTCGGACTATTGTTATAACGACTTTTTTTTTCTTTCTATTGGTAAATTCTTTTTGCAGGATACAGATGACGGTTCCGTTTATGGAACGCCTGGTTATATGGATCCCAGCAGTTTTATTTCAAAGGTAAATGAATAAATATAACTACAAGAAGAAGAAAAGAGGCAAGAAAGATAAGTGGAAATACTTCTGGGCGATTTACAATGTCAAACATTTTTCGAAGGTAACGGTGAAGGCACTGTACGATTATAAAGCAAAGAGAAAGGATGAATTAACGTTCGTAAAACACGCAATAATTACTAATGTGGATCAGCATAATGACGGTTGGTGGAAGGGCGATTACGGTGGTCAGAAGCAACACTGGTTCCCTGCTACATACGTCGAGGTGATTGAGCCTCAAGAGAGCCAAAATGACGTGAGTGGCTAATAGCTTTAATTCTGAATTTAAAAAAAAATAAGATACTATTCTGTTATTGATTTTACTTTGTATCTTTATTTTGTGTTTAGTCATCGGACTCGATGATGCTTGGAAATCTGCAGAAGGGCTCTCTTGACATTATGGGAGCCGTTGTGGATTTGGCAGTGAGTGAGAGACCTGGTCTGGAGTGGATTCTCAGGATACAAAACCCCAGTATGTGCTCAGTTTTTGAAGCAGCTGCACCTTCGAAAGATGCTGCTCTTGAGTGGATAGCCAGTATCAAGGAGGCTGCGCAAAACGCCAGCGTGAGGGTATGTAAACGAATTTAATGCATCCTGCAGATTGAGATGATTAAAATGATTAGATGGCTCTTTTTCTTCTTCGAATATTACCAGGAGAATCAACACAAGGAGATGGAGCGTGCACTGCGAATAGCTAAGGAAATATCAAACCTGATAGTTTATTGCCGCTCCGTGGCCTTCAACGTGGAAAGAATCAAAACGAAGGGCTTCGTGTTCACCGAGATGAGCAGCTTCTCCGAAACGAAGGCGGAGAAGCTCATGTGCCAGCAAGAAAACAAGTTTTTCATCAAGTACCATCAGGTAAGAAGAGTAGCCAAGTGCAGCCGGCTATCTCGGATTCCCGTTGTAAAAGAAAAGAGGGATCGCGCTCAGAACTGGATCTCATTTAATAGGTACAATTTAGCAGAGTCTATCCCAAGGGCCAGAGAATAGACTCCTCGAATTACAATCCTGTACCAATGTGGAATACTGGCTGTCAAATGGTAGCGCTGAACTATCAAACTGGTGACAAGCCGATGCAACTCAATCAAGCGAAGTTCCGCGAAAATGGGAACTGCGGCTATCTGCTCAAGCCAGAATTTATGTTCAGAGATGATTTCAATCCATACGATAAAAATTCGTTGCATGGCGTCGATCCACTCAAGCTCAGTTTAAAAGTCATTAGTGCTAGACATTTGAGTAAATCGGGTAGAGGTATTACCAGTCCGTTTGTAGAGGTCGAAGTCGTCGGTGCCGAGTACGACGCAGGGATTAAATTAACTACAAAAACCATAAGTAAGCCTTCCTATGATGCATAATTTATTTACTGTTACAGCTTTATGAAATATATTATCTTTGATTATTTCTTGAAGCGGATAATGGCTTCAACCCCATGTGGAACGAGGCCTGTGAATTCGACATAGCCAATCCACATTTTGCATTATTGAGATTTGTTGTGCAAGACGAAGATATGTTTGGAGACAGCAATTTTATTGGACAAGCTACTTATCCTGTGCGTTTAATTGTAAAATGCGGTTTTTTCCAATTTATATGGCCCATTACAGCTCATTTTATTTTTCTATTACTTCTATTTGCACAGGTGCGTTGTTTAAGAACTGGGTATAGAAGCGTTCCTTTAAAGAACAACTATAGCGAAGATCTGGAACTCGCGTCCCTCTTAGTTCACATCAGCATTAGAAATCCGTTGGTACGTATAATTATTACGAAACTGGCAATTATATATAAATATGAAATAACATATTTGACATTTATTATAGGACGCAACGCACAATCACATTATAAGAAACAATTCTTTTGATGGACGAGGTTCACAGTGTGACGGAGACATGGAACTTCTTGGAAGACTTCATCTATAAAGAAATGCTCTTATTTTCTCTTTGTAATTTATTCTATACCTCAGGTAGAAGTTTTTCTAGTACATAATTTTTATTGTAAACCGAGAGCACACGAGTACGTAAAACGTGATCGTCGAAATCATGTTTTAGGAAAATTTTGCAATAGTATAACAAACAGTCATGTCGTCTCAATATACAGGGTGAGGCGCGAGGAACAAAACACCTAAATAACTTTATTGGATTTAAAGATACGGAGTACGCAAATATCGGAATTTAAATGATTCGGAAGGGCGCCCATGGTTATCATAATATTTTTTTTTAATTTCATTTTTTACCAGTTTTTTCAAGGTTATCAGAGTTTTTTTTAAATGGAATGGCACATTTTTCTCCTTGCACATTGTAGCCGGCATCGAAACGAATCCAACCATGTAACATAGTATGACCTTCAAATGACCTCCAACCCAGAAATATGGAATTAATACTAATTCGACATGTTAGAGATTTGGCTTTATTTCTGTTATGATAGACTTCGTCCTTCAGTTTTCCCCACAGATAGAAATCGAGGGGAGTGAGATCTGGTGATCGAATCTATCATGAACGACCAACCCTATGTACTATATACCATTTTCAAACGTCATGAGAATGAATGAATGCACTGGGTAATGATAGAACAAGCTTTGGCTACTTGTGGAAGCTGAAAAGAAAGCTCGTATGCAACTATTCTGTTGATAATACATTGTTAGCAGCTCAAAGTGTCTGAATGTAACTAGTTAACAGTTTTCCCGTGGCTTTTGGTATCGCGTAGCGGATTTATGAAATGTTAAGTTTGTAATTCAAATTTTTCATATTCTATTTTGACGTTTCGCCTGGTATGCACGCGTATAAATAATGTGTGGTGAGACTGGCTCTGCTCAAGGAATCATCTTTATAATTTCCTATCCAGAAGTAGATGTGAAAACAAAAAAAATGTCATGTCACGATTCATGTAATGGCAAGTACGTCCAGAAGTACCACATGAATCACGAAAATTTTAGTCTAAGCGACAATGCGTGTGGTATTAGTATCCGAAAATTGCTCATAATTTGTTGCGGGCCTAACTACAATATGTCTCTTCTGAGGCAATAAGGTGTTTTGTAGTATTCTGTATAGAAATTCTCAATGTAGTGCATCGGAAATATTTGTCGTACAAAACATTTTAAGCGTTCCATCATGTATTTATCTATGATCATTTTCGTAATATTCTTTGTAGCACAGGAAACCATGATCATATAATTTCTTTAGATATTTGAAAAACGAGCAGTTTAATCTTCATTCTTGTTTTTTAGTTTTTTTTCTTTATATATATGATAATAAACGTATATAGTCCATACGATAGTCAATTACGCGATGAGGATGGAAACGTGGATATAGAAATAAGCAAGATCCTTTTAGTAAATATACATGTATAATGTTATGTATGTAATATGGAGAGAGAATTAATTGAAAGTTGTTTAGGTGCCTTCAGATCTTAACTATATGTAAAAGAATTTATTTGTTATTATACAGCATAAGAAATGTGATTATTGCTGTATATGCTCCAAAACATAGTTTCATGCCTCTTGTTTGCTGATGACACTGCTATTAACTAAAATTCTATTACTATGCTTATAAGAACTCTCTTTTGAATTTGTTTGCCATTAATTCCAAACACTTAAGACTAGAGGCTTACAGATGGCATCGCCATTTAATAATAATAAATGCGATGCACAAACTGGACAGGTATCTCAGGTGTCCTCTCATCCGATTTTAATGAAACTCAAATATGTTTTAGAGCACGAAAATTTAATCAATACGTATTTTTTTTATCGGTGGGAAACGGTTTTAAATTCACAATGCCAATGAGATGCAAATGCTGTATCTATCAGAGATAAGCTATTTTTAATTAATTTAGTTCGCAAAAGTTATGTATTTTCATACAAACGTATCAGAATGCGTTTAAGGGTAGTTACCTCCTGAAATAAAAAATGAAACAATGCATTTTTACAGTATCTGACGATGTGAATGAATAAATTTGAAGTCCCAAATCGATTTCAGCGATCTCCACAACCCTTGAGATACAAGAGTTTGCAAGACATTGCGAGCTTACGAGGAACCCCACTAGAGGGGCGGTTTTTGTAAGATGTGCAACTAAACGTTATTGAAACGATTAAGCTTCTTAATTGATACATAAAAGAAGCTTTATAATGTAACAATGCCGTTTTAATGAGAAATTGGTCGCACCTGCATAGGGGTGGTTCACCCCTTAAACGAGGTATTCTCGGAAAATGCTAACATATATATCGCCTACTTTTCTCAGCTCTGTCAAATGCAATAAGTTTCATTAAAATCTGATCGATAGTTTCTTTGTTACAAAATATTTTGCAACTTTCAACCTCTATACATTTTTAAGAATTTGCCGCATCAGAACCGAACAAAATGCATTTTTCATTATTGCCCATAAGCATTAACCTCCAATAGATTTCATTTAAATATCTCATCTTCAAATATGTGAAACTGCGAAAATCGCGTTGGGTGTATCCGACTTTAGGAGTTCATTTCACCCCTTAAAACTGTCTTTTCACCAATAAAAAAAATATGTATCGTTTAGTTTTTCGTGCTCTACAACATATTTGAGTTTCATCAAAATAGGAGGGAGGCACCTGGGATGCCTTCCTTGTAAGAATAATATTAAAAAATCATTCAATTCCATGAGCACGACTGTTAATAATTCAATTACTATATTTTATATTTTATCACAATTTATTTCTACGTCTTATAAAAGGCGATTTTTGTGTGTACCAAACTTTATATTGTTATCATTGCAATTCTTAGAATCTTCAGATGGCTTTAGATAAAAAAAGTGCAGAACGCAGGGTTTGTGGAAGTTAGAGCGATATAACTGTAGAGTGATATAAACTGGCACTGATTGTGTGTGGCGCCGCGGGTGCTGCGAGGAGTCACACAAACCTAGTATGAAATAAATGTGTATACACAGACAAAGTAGCCAATGTATGAAGTGTTTTGTGAACTTATTTTATAACTATGGTTGATCCAGGAGGGACAGTTGGGAGGATCTGGTTCGAGGACCTGCTATGTTATAGAAAAATGCCCAAATATCACAAATGAAGACAACATTAACAAGACATCGCCTAAATTTAAAGTCGCGCTACAATATTAATGTCTGATTTTGATAGTTGGCATATAACCAACTTTCTAAATTTTTTTTACTACAGGCTGTTTAACTCTTCAACGATGAACCCCAATTATGTACCGCTCAACTGTGCACGAGGCAACTGTGCGTCGAAAAACTGTGAGTTGATAAATGTCACATTCAAACAACTGTGCACAATTTATTTTTACCGAGCTGAAAATGTGCACGGAAAATTGTACACACACACACATTAATAATTGTGCATGATCGATTAATAACTGCGTACACATCAGTAAAAAACCCTAGGTGCCGGGAAGCTAGAGCTGAGAAGTAAAAATTTGATTCTAATGCATAAATGTTGTTCCTTCGATGCTATTTATAAATAGATAGATGCTCCATTTTTATTATAATAATATAAAAATATGTAATTTTAATGCTTAAGCCTAATTTTAAACTGTTGTGGATTTTTTTGTAAAGTAACGATTCTTTAAATAACTGAAAAAACAGTTATGTGTCTATATTATTACTGAGCCTGATGGTGTTTTAGTTATGAAAATACGGTACAATAATGTATTATTGTAATAGGTTTGTAATTAGTTGTGATGCACAGCTTACCGTGCAGGAAATGTATCATGCGCAGTTATCTGAATATTAAATTTATTGGTGCACAGTTGACACCCAGTCACTATTGAAATGCATATCTTATTCTAATACAGATATTTCGCCGATTGTGAATTGAGTATGCTGAAGTTAATCATAGCAATACTGAATGTATATTTTCTCTTTTTTATTACCCTTTTAGCACAAATGTCAAAAGATCGTCCTAAAGACGACTTTTTAAAGAAGTTTTAACCATGGGAACCTGAAGAAATTGTTCAAAAGATGGCACAGTTAGGACATTCATAATTCGTATTAAGCAAGACGTATGCGATGATATGTGTACAAAATATACAAAATAAAATATGCAAATAAAATTACAATACCCAGATATACTTGTATGACGGATACGATGTGTGGCATTAATTTGATGCAAGTAATTGCCTGAAAGTTTAGAAATTCTCTATTACAATACCTTATACAAATTGTCTATCTCAAATAAATCACTGAATTTACGGTGCACTAGAATTTAAATTATTTATTGTAGATAGCACATTTAATTAAAAATGTGTTAACGTAACGTAACGCAACGTAACAGTTTCACCATAGTTTGGCCCTTACCATTCTTTCACGCTAACGCTCGAATAACAACTTAGCAAACTAAAGCAAATTATTATATATAATAATTTACAAGCTAACCTAGCTTGATGTTAAAAAATGGCAGTTTCTAATTTTATTGGACAATATCTTGAGAACCATCTAATAGATTGAAATGTGTTTTAATTGATTGGATTCAGAAATAAGTATTTCAATTGGGAGTAAGGTGTGGATCTGTATTTTTAAAAAATTTTCTGTTCTTGATTTGTTAACATTTAACAATAATGCAGTAAACGCTATCAAGTCATATAACTGTATCATATTTGTCGGTACAACGCAAATTGCTCGACGGAAATTACCGCGTTCTTTTCAGTTCAAGCTCTTTGGGTATCTGAAAACCGTTTGCGACTACATTCTGTTTTCCCGTTGCTTTTATTCTCGCTTGACATCTCTTTTCTCTGTTATCATTATTTATGGTTTCTAAACGTTTTGCTACATCAAATAATGTGTTTAAATCGTGATGAGCAGCTACAATTTTTTAAAAATTGATCTAACCTCATTTAGGAAAAAAACTAACAACAATAATCCTACAATACGGAAACAAAAAAAAAAGTAATTGTGAAGTTACCGACCGTTTAAACTGTTTTGTAAAAAATTGGCTATGTTTGTTAGGACTTACCTACTGAGTCACTTGTATGATATGGTTCGCACCGAACGGATAACACCTATCACACGAAGCACGAATTTCGATCAATTAAAAACACTACAAATTTTTCAGTATGAATCATCATTATGTCAATGGTAACATGTATTTTGTCTGAACAAATTTCATAGATTTCTAATAAGATGGCGCCACATGTGTGCAAGAAGACCCTGTCTCTTGCACCCTGTGTTCGGCGCATGTTAGTTACTTAGGTTAAAAGAAATATAAAAATCAGTTTTTTTAATTTAATAATTAAATTAGTTTACAGACGTAGATCATGGATTTAATATTGCCATTGAAATTAATGCACTCTGCAAAGTTAAGATACTTGTTTTGTTCGATCTATTTTCTTAAGAAATTTTCCTAATTAATTCAGATCTATAATATAATTCAGAAGACTATCTAAACGATTGTGCAACTCAAAAGCAATTAGTTATTCCAAAGGTGAAATAATTGTTATTACAATCAGCACCTCTTACACGTATCGTCTGTACCAACTAGATGCCAACGTGATGTATTTAACTTTATATATAAAGTTACTGTATAATGTCCGAATAATATTTAAGACATTCATTTAAAAAACTACTAGACGTTGGGGGCATTATACAAGCAGTCTATAAAATTTGGTTAATTGTTTATTGTCGAGCTTTCGAAATAAAACCGTCGAAAGTATGCACTTTCTGGTAACCCAACAACAGCGTACAATGAAAATAATTACTAGTTGACGTTTCAAATATTACTAACGCCTCAATTTATTCTTTCCAACAGTATCTTGTTGCTATATAATTCAAAATAGCATATTGTGAGAGATCTGAATCAAACTCTTCAAATTTTTCCGCGAATAGAAGGGATTTCATTTTTGGTTCATATTATCGCAATTCTATATTTGAAGTTGGGTACATGAATCTTCAAATGAATCCGTACATTGGCAGAATAGAAATGGTTGTCGTTACTCTAGAACAGTGTTCGATTATGTTGATTCATCGGCAAGATCAATAAGTTAACTAAGAGTTCTGTTTTGTCTACTCTGCCTGGCTCTGACAGACCGAATCTCCCGACTTCTAAGGGTCCTGTTTAGAGCGAGAGCGGCGATTACTCCCGTCTCTTGCAGCATCGTCTCCTCCGATCGCTCGACAAGCAAAAACTTAGGAAAGTTCCAGTGTGGTTTTAAGTTCGATAGTTTCAGGAAATTTCAAGATCTTCCTTCATGGTTGCTGGGACTTTAAGGACTTTAATAATAAGAATAACGCTTGTCAATGAGTCACTATAATGAGACAACCAAACAAGAAGCAATTACGGTGGGCGGTGTTGTGTCCAGCAGCATTTCTGTTCTATAGTTTTAAATAATTAAATATGAAAGGATAGACGATACTGCTCTAAATGTCCCGAACTGTGCGTGACGGTGAGAATGGCAGGATATTACTGAATACACACTACTGCAATGTGGTGAATGTCACAAGGTTGAAATATGCATGAGATTGATCGTTAATATTTAAAATTCGTCGTGGTAGCGTCTGTTTTATTGATTTTCGAAGGCTGCTCCGTTTTCCTTACTGTTCCAGTTGACCCACTCGATTTTCAATGTTTTACAATCTGCTGCGAGACATTTTGTTATATATATATATATATATATAGTTGAGAAAAATCCCATATTCTTAAGATAGATTTGCCAGCGACAAGAAATCATTTACTGACCAACTTCAGACTATTGATTTGTTTCTCGATTCACATTATTCCTTATTTTATTTTTTTCCAGGGAAGAAATTGAACAAATTTATGAAAAATCATTTAGTTTGCCATTAGGTTTCGTTTTCTTTGGGATTTTATGTATATATTTATATGTACAAAGCAATGTTCACAGTATTTCTAGTTTCTAGTGGAACCGAACTTTTGAGCGATATATTTGCCGAACACCTTGATACTCTCGAATGTTTCAGCACCAACGGGAATAATTCTTGATGCTGGTAAATCAAAACCGAACCATCCACCACCAGGAAGTTCAATTGTGTAGGACAACTCGACACCACCAATACCTTTGACCCAGTCATCACTGCCTCCAGCCGCAGCGTCTGTAATTTTAACATGACAATCGCATAAACAACCGGTTCCGTAGAAGATATCTTAGAAAAATATGTGGAATACTTACAAAGAACGTTGGTGGAACTTCCAATGGTGTAACGAGTTCCGTAAAGGGAGGCTATAGCGTCATCAGCAGCTTCAGCCAAGGAGCGCTGCAGGAAAGTAGTCGGATATTTGATTAGTAAAAGGTAATTATCCTTTAAGATTAGTAGAGGAAGATGCAATTATAAAACTCACCAGTTCCGGCTCGTCGTCAGGAAGGTCAGAAGTGTATCCCCATGGGTAGAGTATGTACTGTGAAGTCATGAAAAAAAAGGTAAACAATTATTAACGTCTTAAGTGTTAATGATGCCTTTATGTTCAAAAATAAAAGTGATCGCTAGTGTTAAGCATGTCTTTAGGCGCATAAGAACAAACAAACATTTTTACTCGTCCGATTTGCATAAATATCGTTCACCTAAGATTTTTAAGGTCGTTAAATTTAACTCAGAGTTCAAATTTTTTTAATTTGAACTAAAAGTGGCAATACAGCAGTTTCTTAAATTAAAATTATTAACCAACTACCACAGTTGTTTATCCATAAACATAATTTTTCATACGAATTTTGCTGTATTATTCGTTTTTTTATTATTTATTTTCGGTTGTCATATTGGATCGCTGATTTTGTTTTTTACATTTTAAATTGCAGATTTCGGTTTTGCAGCTTTTGAAGATCCTTAAGAACAACTTTTATGCAAATTTGACTATTCTTTCATATTGGATCCGCCATTTTAATTATTGAAATTTTGACTTTTAATTCGAAACCAGCGATCCAAAACACCCTCAAAGTCAAATTCTTATGTGAATGAAATGACTTTTTAGTTGATAATATTTGGAGCCCAAAACTGAAAATTTTCCTTCGCACTTACAGGGGCAAATTGTTATAATTTTCACAATTATTGTATCACAAGAGATATACAGTTTGTGTCAACTTACGTTTCCGTATGAGTGATAAGTCAAGTAGAGCTTAATGCTGTCCTTGTTTGCTAGAACAAAGTTACGCAGGGCCTGAGTCTCTACTTCAGAGAAGGGTGCCTTTCCAGCATAGGTATCGCTGCAGGGAGAACTGGAAGCACCAGTCACTGTAAATGAATTTTCTTAGTTAAATATTTCCGTTGTTTTGAGAGTTTTCTATAGTACTTACGCATCCATTGCAGTTCAAAGTTCCTGTTTCCATCGACACCAAGGCAGGTACTGCCAGCGGTAACGGAGCGAGTCTTTCTCCAGAGACGGTACTGTCAAGAAAGTAATACTTTCATTGGAATTATCTGCCCTACTTTTTAGGCAATCGATTTCATTCTTTTAATGACATACCGTGGTAAAGGTGTATTCATACCCATCAGGATTCAGAGTCGGAATGATGTACCAGTCGACATTGGCGTAAAGGTCCGGATTTTCAACCAGTTCATTGATAACATAGAGGGAAGTGACAGGAGCAGCCCATTCTCGAGCGTGGATGCCAGCATCTATCAGAATGGCAGGGTTGTTGCTGCCGCTGCTGATCTTGATGGCGTAGATGGTGCGCCCTTCGTAGGAAGTTCCAATGTCGAGAAGCGTCGCGACGTTGCTATATGATTTAACGATATCTTGGAGGTAGCTGACAATCTTATAAAAACAAAGAAATATTGTTCTGTTATACTTCAAAGGATGAGCAATTATTATACTTTTAATTAAAGTCATTTCTACTAACGACATTATAGCGAGGGAATGATGTGAAGGTAAAACTTCTGCCTGCGAATTTCTCCAGAGGTGGTAAATTCCTGGCCAATTCCATGGCGATCTTTTCTTCCTCGACCTTTTCCAAGACATTGTTCACATAGACGTTGTAATCGATTTCGTTTCTCTCTAGAACCGACTTGAAGAAAGTTGCTTGCTCCGCCGTGACCAGAACGTTCACAGGTTCCTGAAGGTTGGCGGTCAGTTTAATGAAGTCGAAGCCAGGGACGCCCTCATAGGATTTAACCAGGTTGAGCTTCTCTTCGGTGTCGGCCATAATCCTGATAGCCTGCATCCTAGAAGATGTAAGAAAATATTTTAATTTTTCCTTGAAGTAGAACTTGTGTCACAGTGATCGTTGAGTGTTATGGATAATTTACCCTCGAAGGGATGGAAGAATTTCTTCATTGGCTGCGGCGGCGGCCGCAAATGCGACTAGAAGCACCAAGGAGAAACGCATTATTCTTATTCTGAGGGTTGCTACCACAGCCAGCCTTTATACGTGTCTGTATCTTCAAGATCTTTTTTTTACGTGGTCAATATGAGTTATCAATAGAAATTGATTAATTATCATTGATAGTGGCTCGAATGATTGGTTCTCGACGATGATTAGTAGATAAGAGTATACGCTTATTAAACGGTCATTGTATCAATTGTTTGCCCTGATAGTGAAATACGACTACGTGAGTGGGGACATCGATGCCTCTAAAGCGCCAGAATTCTAGTGTTTCAGTGTTCAAACTGTTTTCCATTCCTATGGAGGAAATACCAGAATCAGATCGAACGCTCTGTTAATTGCTCTGCAAGCGTAAACGTAATTCGCTCTTCCCCATTACCCCTTCACTGTCCCTCTACGATAGTCAAATTCTAACAACTGGAATCACACCTATGTATAGATATAGTGATAGTCCATGTCGCTAGATTCGCTATTACCCATAAGTATCGATCGTTCTCGCTCTCCTGTACTATAGAATTATGTCTACACGGGTTTCTAAATAGCTGTTGCTGACCATTGAATTACCGCATTACCCCAGTGGTTTACTAGATCCTTTTACAGACTCTGTGCAATTCCTGTTTTTCCCCATTTCACTTCAAAGCAACAGTAGCCAGAATGGGGAACCTGATAAACATTGCCGCTCCCATCTGTCAAGGTGCGAAACGGCTAAGCCTCCAGTTCCGTAGGCGCGGCTTCCCGCTTTATGTAATGTTACTATGTATGTTATAACTGCGCACATATGTAGCTGCTGAACTTTTGAATGAATGCGTTTCTTTTATGAAAATTAAATTTCTCGATTTTCGATGCCTTATATTGCCTATGTATTTTGTTGTGGCTTGGCTTTCTTCCTTTATTTTATATTCGGCTAGATTTAGAATACTTATGTTACAAAAAAATTAACTTAAGCCTCGAATTCCTATGTTATATCCCAAAGCGGATCTACTCAAGTAAATGCAATCGGTAAATTGTTTTCGGCACATCAAACTTTTCGATTGCCTCATGTAATTCCTGGAACGCTGAGTAGCAGGCCAGGCGCTCACACTACATGCCATTGCGAGCAATGAAGCAAGATTCTTTCTGCAAGATCATCAATATTGCGGTGCATTATCTCGAAAATTGGAGCTAATGCACCTACAGTATTCGGAACCCATGGGCAGTCTTTCGTGAATCCTGGCAACAGACGGAACTCCTTTAGGGGTCACCGTCTAAATCATCGAGTTTTGCTTGTTCCTCCGCTGATAGTATTTTACGTGTCTTCGGATCCTTGTGACCAAGCGTTCCCACCCGAGGGCCAGGGAAGTCATCGCGGTGAGCGTTCTATTCAATCTATTGCGAGTGTAACAACAGACGACGGATTGCCACAGAAAGAACTCAGTGAAGTGCAATATCAACTCTTTCAACCTTATCAATCATTGCAAGTCAATTTATCTTACCTATAATAAATAATCAATCTGTATACCTACACGTCGCTCTTATTCGTTGGCATTACATCCTCCCATTTCCACAGGAAACAAATACGCCTAGCTTAAATGCTAGCCCACAATTAGATATATCTACGCCCTAGCAGTTTCACTAGCTAAGGCCTAACACCTATACATACATATAGAATCCACGCGTGTCCGCCGTGCATTTCTCATTTTTTTACGTGTTTTGAAAGTCTTCCTTTTTAACAGCTCAGAGCGTTGAATGCATTTATCGAAACTACACAAAGATAATTTTTCATTAAAAATTACCGTGAAGCTCACGGTAATCACGGGACATCTTGGCATTTCATAACATATTACTTATATATTAGGGTGTCCCATAAGTTTCTTTCGCACAACGCTAGGAATGACTCTAATTGGCTATGTTTATATAAGCATACAGGCTTATCTATTAGCCATCTATGGCATCGGTTTCAGTTGTCCCAGAGCTCTTTTAAAGTACGTTTTGTTCGTGACGCAGTCTCTTTTAAAACTTTGTTCTACACTGTTCAATATGGATAGCCAAAGGAAGCATTTGTAGCATGTTATGTTTCATTGCTTTAAAGAAGGTAATAGTGCAAAGGATACTGCAAACGAGATTTGTACCATTTACAGGAGTGGTGTTACGACTATAACGATCGTCCGCAATTGGTTTAAGAGATTTAGAGTTGGGAATTTCGAATTGAAAGATGAAGACCGCAGCGGCCGCCCAGGAACGATAGATACAGACCTTATCAAGGCCATGTTCGCTGAAAATCGGCGATATAGTGTGCGCGAGATAGCGGATGCCACTAACATTCCCAGGACAACAGTTCATAATCACTCGATCAGGATGGGATATGTCAATCGATGTGAAGTTTGGGTTCCACACCCATTGACGGAGACCGGCCTTATGAACCACGTCTTTATATGCGGTTTGCTTCTCCAGCTACATAAAAGAGATCCTTTGTTAAAGAGGCTTGTCACTGGAGACAAGACCTGGGTTTTGTATGAAAATATGCATCGAAAACGCACTTGGTCTACGGACAATAGACCTTCAACTGATGCGAAGCCTGGACTTCACCCGAAGAAAGTTCTTTTGTCCATTTGGTGGGACTGGAAAGGTGTAGTCTACTACGAGCTCCTTCCTCAAGGTGAAACCATCAATTCTACCAAATATTGCAATCAGCTTGATCAACTGAAAGCCGCTATAGCAAAAAAAAAACGGCCAAAATTGTCGAACCGACGAGACGTCATTTTTTATCACGACAATGCAAGACGGCATATTGCATTGTATGAAAGATAAAAGCTGTTGCAGTTTGATTGGGACTTTATATCGCATCCTTCGTACTCCCTAGATCTTGCTTCATCAGATTATTACTTGTTCCTGTCATTAAGAAATTCTCTCCGTGATAAACGGTTTCAATCCGTAAATGAAATAAAAACGCACTTCGAGGAATATTTTGTAAGTAAGCCCCAAAAATTGTGGAAAGAGGGAACAATGAGTCTTCCTGAGAGTTGGAAGAAGGTCATATAGCAGCACGGTTCATATATAACGCAATAAATCAACTTTAAACAATAAATATCATGCATTTATTTCATATCGAAAAAAAGAATGAAACTTATGGGACACCCTAATATTTAAGAACAATAATTCACCAAAACATCTTAAAAAGAAAACATAATACGGTAACATTTTTCAAACTTGAAAATATGTAGTGTAAAAGTTTTACCTTGTTGAATTTAAAAAGTCATCTAAAATAGCCGAATTATCTCGTGCGTTACATTCAATTTTACCGTGGAGTGCACTGTACCTTTCATACCTTTGAAGTCAATTACCAAAAACATGGACATTGTGACACGCAGTAAAAATTGCAAGTAACAATATTTACCGTGTGCACTGTAAAATTTATTTGTAGCCACTCAAAATCTCGTATTTTATAAGTTATAAGCAATAAGTAATAAAATGGTACTGATGTCCCACGGTTACTGGTTTCTACGGTAAATTTTATCGTGAATTTCATAGAAAAAATTGACGAAAAATTCTCTCCGTGTACATAAAGAGAATTTTGCAATAATTTTCCGTGTTAAATGCATGATAAAATTTATCTCGAAAGACAGCAATCCTGTAAAATCTTGGCATTCTATCATCCTTTTTTTATGAGGAAGAACATTTTTAATGACAGCAGAAGCAAATTTTAGAGTGTACATACGCCGTAAATTTTGATACTTAACATTTTTACCGATTTTTGTGGATCTGTCAAAATCCAGAACTGTTACTTGTTAGGTCTCAATAGACAGGTAAAATGATGTACTCCACGATAAAATTAAATATTGCAGTTGTGATAATTTGACTTTCTCAAATGAGTTTATATGTCAAGCAAGATATAATTTTAACATATACTCAATGTGTTTTTAAGTAACAACATTTTTACCATTGCACTTCAGCAAAAAAGAATATGATGTACATTAAATGTTACTGTAATTTTATGAATTATTCTAAAATAAATAGATATTATATTTAGAAATGTCACGATATTCCACGACTATCGTGATTTTCACGGTAATGAAAAATTCTTTCCTTGCAGTATTTGCATATACATTGTTATTTGTCAGATTCCGACTTCTTGATTGAAAAAAATTCAAGAACTACAGCCAAAAGTAGAATAGGGCCTGCAAGATCTTTGATATACATCAACAGAAAAATTATGATAGGCATTCTAGGATTAAGCCAATTATTTTAATATTCAGTAATGTCTTTTCAATATTCTTCGTCCAAGTTACGTCTACTGTGCAAGCATGCGAATCATAAATGGAAGAAAATTAGAATATAAACAGTTTGAACTACAGTAAATCCTTGACTTACGCGGTTGATTCGTTTCAAAGGTTTCCGCGCAAGTTAAAAATCCGCATAAGCTGAATGACCCTTAACTATGATATTTTTTCACGTACTGTATATGCTAGGTTATTCAGCCCAAATGCACCACCTAAACATGGTTTTACTAGGAGACTCAAATGGGAGAGCAAACTTCAGAAGTTGCGTTTCTACTGAATACCTCTGTATGTTCGTTTCAAAGAAAAGTTAAGAATCCGTGTAAGTCAAGGATTTACTGTACTGCTATTTATAAAAAAAAAAATAATTTATAGTCGATTCAGGAGTTCCATTTGTTTTTAATGGCAGGTCGAAAACAATGAAGTCTATAGCCAAGTTATAACCGGCTTTGCATACAGTTTTTATTACAAAATATACATGATATTGGACTGAAATATATTTTATTTTTCTATCGTAAGATATATTTTTGTGATTTTATGGAAAACAGCATGCAATTTGCTAAGAATGGCATTGTAGCGAATTGTCAAAAAACAGTGAATTTGTGGACCATTTATAACAAATTCTTTAAACAATTGTCCATACCATAATCTGTTTTCTTCGTCTTATTTATTTAAATAGCAGAGAGAGAATATTGTATTTATTGACATACAAACAAGGCGAGATGTAATATTTACATGGACGACTAGCATTTGATGTGTATGGTGATGCCATTTGGCCATCGACCGAAGTCCTTCAGCCCTATTTAAATGAT